TATAATGCAGGCACAAAATTCGAAAACAAAAAATTGAACAACCAAATAAAATGAAAAACATGGAAAAATAAAACCAATAAACACGTAAGTAAAACAGGGGGAGGGTAAAAATACAAACAAAGAAAATAAACACGAAAAAGTCGTACAAATAAATCTGCACAAAATAAAAATAAAAATGAAAATAAAGTTTTAGAAACTAAAAATGAAAAACCTTAAATATTTAGACTCGCACTTGTCAAAACACGTAAGGTCTCAAGCACTGGCGTCTGCCGAATGGTAGGTTAACACTGCGTTTGCGCCATCCTAACCGACTCTCGCAGTATTTATGAGAGGAGGAAGAGTTCATTCTACTGTAGAAGGGTTTTACCACAACAATAATGATGGTGAAAATAGTAAACATAAAAATAAATGATGGAACTTGTTATAAATTTTTAATGACAATGATAATAATAGTGGTAATAAATAACTAATGACAATAATGAAACCAAAGGCAATTGTAAAACGCAGTAATAATGGTGTTGGGGAGGATATGAAGAGATAATAATAGTAGCAGTTATTTTTCGGTAGGTGCATGAGCTGGTAACGACAATATTGGTAATTGAATTAGTGCTAGTCGTAATAAAATGATATTGAAGTGTTAGTCGTTTATTCTTTTTATGGCTGTATCAACTGTCATGGTGTTGCCATATCCGTAGGGGTGATGATAGTGTAGCTAAAAGTGCTGGTAACTATATCAATCTGTGTTAATTGCTATGGTGGGGTTTTTTTTCTCTCTCTCTCTTTTTTTTTTTTTTTTTTCTGGTTGTGATTAGATTTGTTGTAGGCATTATCCGTTTGGTATGAACCGTGATATAAGATATTTATTTTCGTGTCTGCATTTTGAAACTATTTCTGATCTTTGGTTTAGTGTGGGAGATTATTGCCACTTTTTCGTGTAGACAAAGTAGGCATCCCTTTGTTATGTTGTTGAAGGCAGGTGCAGTTTTCATGATTTGATTTCACAGCTTATTTTTCGTATGATGTTTCTGTCTTTTTGTTGCCATATATATGTGGATAGTGTGGTGCTGTTGCAGGGAATTTCCTTGCAGTGAGCATGTAGTTTTATTTTTGCAGTTGCATTGGGGGTATTTGATTGCGCTATTGTAAATTATTACCTTTTTGTTGTAGTTTTTTTTATTATTTTTGTTAGGTTTTTAGTGCAGGTATAGCTTGTTTTGGTTAAATGTTTTTCTAATGGGTTTGTTGCGGGGAAGTGTTTTTCTATTAGTTTTAGGAATGTCCTGCCGATGTTTCTTTTGAAGGTTTTGTTGTATAGTTGGTTAAACCAAATTATGTTTCTTTTTTCTATTTTTCCGTTTCGGTCGTGGTGATGTGTGTTATAGTTGTTGTGTGTATCCGCTTTTCTTTAGTGCGTTGCTATATGGCGTCTTCCTGTTGTTAAAAATGTCTATGTTGGATGAGTTGTCTGATAATCTGCGGTTGATGGATATGGGTATGTGATTGATGATTGAAGGTGGATGGTTGGAGGACGTGGGTATGTATGTAGGGGTGTCATTCTTTTCATATGGTTCATAGGTTTCTTTGTTCAGGTTGAGGGTGACGTCTAGGAAGTTTACTATTTTTGGATTTGCATCTATTTATATTTTAATTCCAATTGTTTTTACAACGTTTAATATTATTTCCTAAATCTATCTATTTGGGGGTCATTGGGTTCTCTTATTAGAATTAGGCTGTCGTCTTTATATAGGCCCGTGTCTTTTGTCTCTAGTGTTCTGTCTAGGTATGAAAGGATAAGGATATTATCCAGTTCCTACGCTCTATCAAAACTTCAAGTTGTTGCATCAAACAGGTTGTTAATTTGTTTTTTTGATCATAGTTCATTGTTGTGAAACAACAGGGATTTACGGCAATGTTTGATTATTTCAGCATCCGTGATTTGTACATTTGCTATTTTTTTTAATGAAATTATTTTTAATGAAATTATCAAATTTTCCGTGTTGCTTTAGCACAATTCACAGGTTTATATAAAACTTGCTTTTCCCTAATTTCATTTCCATTCAATCCGGTTGAAGATCGCGTAAGCCTGAAACTCGGTTTACGGCTAAAGACATGCTTTCTGTTGTGGAAGAGTAAATTCTATGAACTCATCTATTACTATAAAGAGCTCCATGGTATGTGTTAGAGAGTAGTTGTATTGGAGTCGGTCTTCATACTAACTATACAGGCGGTACAGCAATAGCCAAAGCATTACGTATAGAGAATACTTTAACGAATTACGTTATATCAAGTATGAGTGTGTGTTATAAAAATAACCTTACAATAGGAAGTCACAATAGTTGCTACGAGGATGCTCGAACACAAGCGAGGGATAACATCGCAACATTATAACTGGAGTTACAATAATTGACGACGAGGAATTTGAACTCAATCGCGGTATAACAAGCACATGGAGTTTTAATAGTGGGCGACAGGAGTTACAAGAATTTCAACCACATTGGTTAAAAAATTCTTACAGATATGGAGAAAATTTTGACTTCCATGATTGAAATTCAACAGCAACAACAAAATGCAGCTGCTACAATTGCAAAAACAACAAGAGTTGTTTGAAATTGTTTTGAAGAAAAATACTTCAACGTTACGCCAGACTCGGTGCAAAACACCATGTCAAAATGTGTATACAATCCTGATGACAGACTGACCTTTGCTGCGTATTTTCGCAGATATGAAGAAATATTTAGTCAGGAATGCAGTGGCTGGAAAGAAGATAACAACTCGGTCGTTAAGAAAATTAGATCCAATAGATTACGAAAAGTACTGCAATTATATTTTACACAGTACACATTCTGACTAAAATCTACATGGCAACACAGCGTCATTTACAATATAAAATAAAATTGTTATAAGTATAGTTGAAAGCGCTCGGAAATGCAGAACATTTGTACAGTTTTACACTATTTTTGTCCAGGAAAGAAAACACTTGTACAAACATAAAAATAAATAAATAAAAAGCTTAATCGCAGTACCTTGTCAGTTCTTTTTAACGAAACTTATATAAAAGAGGGATTGCTGCACAAATAATAATAATAATAATAATAATAATATATATATATATATATATATATATATATATATATATATATATTCAAATATTCAAATATATATATATATATATATATATATATATATATTCAAATTTAAAACATACATGTAAAAGATCACTACAAAGTTGCAATTTTGTTTCAACACTGCTGATGTCTTCTCAAGTGATCACGTGATAAGACACCAGTGTTGAAACAAAATTGCAACTTTGTAGTGATCTTTTTACATGTATATGTTTTAAATTTGAATAAATATTATTAGCTGTACTTTGTAGTGAGCACTCTTTTAAGAATAATTTGGTTATTGGAATTTTATTCCATATGTACCAACACTGTACTTGTATATATATATATATATATATATATATATATATATATATAAGAACACACACACGCACACACACACACACACACACACATATATATATATATATATATATATATATATATATATATATATATAAGAACACACACACACACACACACACACACACACACACACACATATATATATATATATATATAATCTTATATACTTTTTTCTTTTATGATCTGATGTGTATTATGTCTTTGTATCTGTATTGTTTCTGTACACGGATATGTTAATGACTCTCCCAGTAAAATTGTTTAAAGAAACAATGAAAATTCACGTAATAAAAACAATGTCTGCTAATGATTAGTTATGTAAATACATATAAAAATTCGATTTCATTATCAGATATTTTTGCTAATTAAGTTCTAAGTTGAAAAAAACTATTCTTATAACTCTGAGCGAAAATTTCACAATTTGTTTTTGTTAATCGATAAAAAGACAAAATTTACTTCGAATTCTATACCTCCCTCTCTTTTACTTAATCTGTTTTTTCTTTTCTTTTACTTTTTCCCACCATCTTTTTCCATCTTTCTCCATAGATATTTCTTCTTCTTCTTCTTCTTCTTCTGATTGGTAGTTCTAACATGTACATATTTTGTCTTGGTGTATTAATATAGGCTACAGTAAATATCATTTTCAGTCCAACAGATTTGCTTGTCAGTTGCCTTATATTAACTAGTTGCCCCCACCCCCGCCCACCAGAAACTGATGCACTATGAATCTCTGTTCAATAATAGTAATAGAGATAATAAAACATAAGTATTATCTCAGAATTGGACATCCTGTCTGATAAAAAGCACATTTCAGCAAAAGAAGATGAGAAAATTTCAAAATTGTGATAGTTCCGATCACAACAGAAGCCTATATATGTGTTTTTGTTTGCGGATAGAAAATTGAAAGATTATATTGAATCAACTGCGCGATCTACTGCTATGAAATTTGGTTCCCTGTGTCGTACTATACTCACCAGAATCTATATATTACATATAGACTTACATATTTATAAGTCTATCATTCGTTCTTGCTTTAAATATTGCTGCCACATTTGGTCTTGTGTACTTGCGATATATTTAAAGATTCTTGACAAAATCCAAAGAAATATCTGCAATGTTATTTGTCCTGATTTGGCATCTCGCATTCAGTCACTGTCCCACCGCCGTAATGTAGCTTCTCAGTGCCTTTTCTATAAATACTTTCATGGTAATTGTTCCGATAAACTTTCCTCCGTGGTACCTAGACTTTATGAATTTAAGCTCAGTACTAGATTGGTGGCAAGGTCTCACACATTTACAGTTGAAATGGCGATATGTAACCGTAACAATTTCTTCTGTCGCACTTCTCGCATCTTGCTTCCCAGTCAACTTTGATATTCAAAAATAAAATCCAATGCCAATCATTATCTTCTGTCTTCTTAATTATTGTCTTTTATTGCACTTTTTCCTTAATAGTCTTTTTTTCTTCTCATATTCTCTAATACTGAGTAACCCCTGTGCCTCAGTGGCTTTATTGCCTCGCTTGTAGTGAAATGTTTAAAAATAGATAGATAGATAGATAGATAGATAGATAGATAGATAGATAGATTGTGTGAACATAGGAATCAGTACTTTTTATAAAGGCTCTGTTTCCAATAGTTTCCTTTTCTATGTAACACTTATGACATTTTAGTAGCTGCATTCATCAAATAACTGTTATTTTACGAAAGGCTAGATTTCCTTGAGATAAGTTAATTTGATTTTCTATACTTCAGTATGAGTATTTTAATCTTCCCTGTTGTTTCTATTATTTTGGGGATTGTGCTTAAATGCCACATTCTTAAAATTTATATTTCCAAGTCCATGTATGAACTGCTAGCTTCCATATTTGTAATCGGTATGTCTCAGAATACGTTCTAACACTTGTGGTGTTTTGAGTTCATATTTTTCTTCATGGCGGAAATTATAATGTTGGCATATGTTCCAGTGCAGATATTTTTCTACGCTTTCACGTCTAACATTTGGGGTTAGGGTAGAGCATCCACATTATTATTATTATTGTTGCTGATTTTGTTGTCGTATACTGAAAGGGGATGTCATAAGGGCTTATATGGTGGAAGCTAGGGTTGTATATTATGATTATATGTAGGACAGATAATGGTTGACACTCGACTTGAAGATTTTAGCGATAAGAGAAACATCCCCTCGTATGTATTCCACATTACAACAATTCTGTGGAATAAACTGTGGGACTTCCTCTTTACAAATGGAATATGAAAGGAATGAGGATAAGGTTAATTCATGGCATGGTAGATCTTCGTTGTGAATGTCTGGATTTCTGTCATGAAAATAACGGAAGAGCAACGAGATGCTAACAATGTCCCCTTTATGGGAAAGGGGTTGAAGGATGGAAAGCGATTCATCACCCACAAGGACACGCAAACGCTTTTGAACTCAGTCGAGACTGGAAAATGAGGATTAGGCAACTTCGGTTAAGGCGTGGCATTTTGGGTCTGATCTGACTCTTGTAGGATAGATAATTGTTGGAGGAATCATGTATTTTCTGGAGCAGTACAGGGAGCCGGTGATTTAGCGATGCTTCTTATACACAAGTTCCACTAAATATTTGGAGTGAGCTTGAGTTCTAAAAGACGTTCCACTGAGAGTACAATCGATCATCTGGACTGATCTGATATCAGTTCCTCCCCTATCAAACTGTCCGGGTAAGATCAGAGGAGAGACCAGCTGATGGCTTCTGGTCTTCTAGATTTTTGGTGTTACTCCCATAAAAAGTGGTCTCGTCTGCATATATATTTACTAGGGATCTGTTCTTATACAGATCGTTAATATATAGTAGAAAAGGACCTAAGAGGGAGCCTTGAGGGATGCCTGCCTTGAACTCATGAGCATCAGAGAATTGGCCATTAACAATGATCTTCATGTACCTACTTGAGAGGATGGACTTGATAGACGAGAAGATTCTACCAGAAAATGCCATACCTGGGGAGTTTGTGTATCAGTCCTCTATGCCACACTTTGTCAAAAGCCTCGTGATGATTAATAAGCGTTTCACTGGCTCTATGCATAGAGAATGTTATGATATCAGCGATGAACCTAGTGGAGCAAAATCCATACAGTTTGTCACTCCTGAAGTTGTTACTGTTGAGGTGATTGACAGCATTTTTCTCAAAAGTTTGCTGATGACACTGAGGAAGCTGATGGGCTGATATTACGAAAAGATGAGCGCTAGGCCAACTTTTTGTAAACTCGACATACAGCTGACACCTTCTATATACCTGGGAATCAGTTTTCCTTCAGGAAGCGGTTAAACAATGTTGTAAAGATTATAAATATATCTGAACTAAGGTTCATAAGTGCAACGACAGGAATGTTATCTGGTCTAGTAGTCTTCGAAGAGTCAAGCTTAGAATCCTGGAAATATCTCAAGCCAAGACAGAGATAAAGCTATGTTTGTATACAGGGAGAGGGAGGAAATCAAAACTTGTCTCTACCTCCACGCTAGAAGACAAGGCCATCAGTTTATCGCAAAGATTTTTGCCACATTCAAAGAACTCGGGACCATTTATGATGGATGGTACTGATGGTTTTTATATTCAAAATTTTCTAGAACTCGCTAGAGCCAAGTTTCTTGTTTTCAAATTTTGGCTTGGATTGCATGTCCATAGCTATTTTTAGCATTTTCCAAGATTCTTTTGTTCTGTTACACCGCTTCTTTTGATAGAGATAATAGTAATGGTTACGGGGAACTATAGCTGCAGCACATTTGGTTGTAAACCTTTCGGTTCAACCTGTGTTGGTACTTTTATGCAGTATGCCTAAAAGGGCCCATTCGTAAACGACGGGGGGGTGTTGTTTTGGCAGATGAATGCTGAGAAAGAAGCTTCAGCAAAATATAATCTGAAGGTAACCTTGTTAATATTGAGATATCGGAGGAAGCCTTTGGTGTAGTATCAAATATGACAATGAGGTGTCCAAAAAAGGTAAAGTTTCAACAAAACATTGAAACATGTGAAATGCAAAACATACAAAAGGTAAA